AAACCCCTGCATTCACCGTCCTTCAAGTCCATGTGTGACTTGATTCTTCCTGGATGCCAGATGAGAACCTGGGTACGAAGAGGGCTCTAAGCTTATTAACACTTAAGCCGTCTGTAGATGACAGAGCTAAAAAAGCACAGTGTAACATGCACCCACTTGGGCTTTGGGAGTCACCCACCCCTAGATGCTACCATGGGGCCGGAGCCCAAAAATGCTCGCCCCAGCTCCTGCACCTGCCCATCTGTGTGCTCCTCATCCTGTAAGGGGTTTGAGCATGCATGGCAGCCGAACAGACGAGCCACACCCCTGTCATACGTCCTACAGGGTGGGTCAGGGAACTCTCCCATTTCACTGTGAAATCTTGGGAAGTTTCCATGGTGAAAGAACATTCCTGGAAGAGTGCTTAGGTTGTAGGCAGGCTTACCAAAGGATATTCCAGGATGTTCTAGAGGTTGAAATCTCTTTTATTTTTTCAACAAATATTTGGGTGCCCACTATCTGCCAGTGCTGAGTACTAGATGATTAAATGTCAGAGAAAGGGGCAGTAGAACCAGGCTAGAAAGGTAAGCCTTGCCCATCTTATGAGGACTTTAAAAATCAAGCAGAGAAAGCAAGTGTCTTTAAACAAAGTGGGAGGGGTGGGGCAAAGATGTACCAGGAGAGGATGACAAAATGGATAAGACCTTTTCCTCCAAGACACCTCAGCCTGATCCTTTGAAAAAAATTTCCTAAATAAGGGAAGAAAGAAGATACACAGACACAGTGTCATTTCAGGAGGAGTCATTATATTTCTGTGGAAAGTCAGCTTTGCAGAAGGTTAATAACACAAATGAAACTGGGGCTGCAGTAGCTCTCAGAGGAAGCACAGGAAGTCTTTCATCAATCCTTTGGACTATAGGAACTACGGGGGCTTGGTCCTGCCACAGAAAGCTAAAGTGCCTTACACCTAAGGTTGGCAGAAGGAGCTGGACATGGCTCTTCTGGTGAACTAAGCAGTATCTGAATACGTAGAGAGAGAGAGAAAGAAAACAACGATGCAGTGCTCTTCTGTTGACTGATGACATCTGTTGACTGATGTCCTTAGGGGGTGGGGCTGGGGGCTGGGGGTTGGGGGTGGTCTATTAAAGCAGATAGGTTTGATTAATCACTGCTGGCTACACTAACATAGGGCTGTTTGGAGCAGATTTCCCACCTTTTTTTTTTTTTTTTTTTTTTTAACAGGAATAAAACAGTAATACCATAGAACACAATAGAAGGCATACTTGCTGATGCTTTGGGGGAATGTGGGTGAAATGTAATTAACTAGAAATCTTCTCCACAAAGGTAGTAGAGAAACAAACCACCTTATTGTTATCAGTTTTCTTTTAAGTTTATCCTTCACAGAAAGGAATCTTATCCCCTTATACAGCCAAGCTGTATAATACACCCCAGTACATACATGTTCTCAAGATTGACAATCACTAGTCCTCAAGTTAGAGGACTTGACAACACCTTTTGTCACACAGAGTTTGTTTGTCCTAACTTTATTTTGGTAATTGGGGAGACCACCTGTGTTGGCTTTATTTGGAGAAAAACAAACTTCCTATATCTTTATGACAAGGTAGTTTTGCAAATTGGAGCAAGGAGCCCACCAAGTTAGGCTCTTACCTTCCCACAGGAACTAGGAGATAGGGACACTATCTTCCGTGATGTTTGCATTTCAGAAAGATGACTCCCAGGTCCTTAAGGAAACATTCCTGAGTTAAAAAATTTATTTAACCATTGAAATTTATATACATTTGAAAAGAATAGAAAAAGAAATTCTGAAAAGAAAGAGGTGAGATATTTTCTCTTATTTTCAACAGGGAGAGTTAAGCCTCTTATTTTTAATTTGTATTTGCCCTTACAATCATCTACCTGTGTTACTATAAAAATCATATTGCAATCTCCTAATTATTTGTACCTTTCTCTGGGCAACTTGCAGTTGCCTGAAAATTCAGCAAGTCTATAGTAAAATGCAAACAATGCAATTACCAGAATCACAGTATGATGAATTTTAAAATTCAGTATAATATTTGCCTTGGAGGAATAACCTTTAAATATAACAGGCATTCACTTTTGTTTACTTATCTGTACTGGAATTGGAGAGAACTTGCATCCCAGTGTGAATCTAGTGACATTAAAGCTGTCTTTTGCAGTTTCTGTTTGTCTATTCATTAGATGCCTTTCTATATCATCCTTCCAATCAAACCAGTTAACTTTTCTTGGTGTCAAATTTAGAGCTTGAGTGTCTGGATGCATATTTATGACTTTCATTATTATTGAACAGTACCAGTGAAAATGACCCCACTTACACTCTGCTAAAAATGAAATCGTTGGACTTGTAAGTCCAGATCCTGTTCATCCTGGGAGCATCATTTAAAGCTGATTGGTGATATGGGGTTGTGGGAACATTTCTGGGAGTGCAGAAGAAAAAAGAAGTGCAACAAATTATACTGTTTGTTTTCTAATAAATATAATTCTCAAAGTAATTGGAATAACCACTGCCATGAACAGGACAGCCAGGCAGACTATAGGAATAGTAATACATTTTCTAGAATACTTCTTTTCAGTTGAATAGAAAACTTGAGTTTTAGGTCCTTTGTAGAAAGCACAGTCCAGCTGCCCTGTGGTGCTAGCTTCACACAGGAAGCCTGGATTCAGTAGTTTGTCTTTTGCACTGAGAGCCTTATGGGTCATCAGCAGCACTCTATAGGGTCCCTCCCCATGGTGACAGCCCACTTTTATGTAGACGAAGTCTCCTAGTCCAGAGGGGTGGCAGATTTCCTCTGTCTTCCAGATCTTTCTGACTTTGTCTCAGGGTTTCTGGGGAGAAGAGAGAAGCTTTTAAAGTACTGAACACAATTATGAAAGGATTCAGTTAAGTCAGACATATATGGCCTCAGACTCACATTCATGGGCTCCCCAAATATAAGTCCAAAGAAGAGATTCCATGTTTGTTGCACGGGTTATTCTATTTTTTAAATTCTAATTTGTAATAAGGCTAATTGATAAGGCTCTAGGTCAGTTTAACCTGGTAGATTGCTGAATCTTATCCAAGGAATGTTTGGTTTGATTTTTGTTTTTTTTTGTTTTTTTTTTGTTTTTTTTGGGGGTTTTTTTTTGAGTTTATTTGCTCTGCTCGTGCAGAAGACTGGAACTTTTAGAGACCTGTAAACATTTGCATAATTTCTGGACAAGAGTAAAAGTAAAATAACTTCTCTGATTCAACATGCTTCGGTATCCCAAAAGTGAGAATTTTGTGTAAGAGGAGAGCCTTTATCACTGCCTGAGCATCAGCTTTGGAAGAGGGAAAGACCTCAGGCTATCTAGACCTTACACACACCGTAAGCAGACAAAAGCACTGTCTGTAGGTATCAACTCTATGAAATCAAATGCCATCAGATTCCTGGCAAAGCTGGCTGGGGGTAACTTCTTGGGCTTACCTTGGGAGTGGCCTGTAAAGAATTCTGCTGACAAATAGCACATCTCTTTTTCATCCGTTGAATACTTTTCCCTTTTGGGTAGGTGTAGAAAGAGTTTAGTGTCTTTAAACTCCCTCTTTTATTCAGGTGATTTTGTTGATGACACAACAATACTAACCAAGCAAATGGGTACTGTGGCATAGGAATTAGTTTGCTAGGTAGTTTCCATAGTCGGTCAAATTTCATTTAGCCCCTTTTATAATCCTTTTGTCTACTTTCATTTACAAAGGATCCTTTTAAAAATGAACAAACGTTTCTCACTGTGTTAAAAGTGAAGCTTTTTAAGCTTAGAGATTGCTGTGTTTTAACAGCAGCTTTGAAGCTCTGCTAGCAAAATGAACTACCGATATCTGAGCTGGCAGCTGTAAAACTCCGAATAAATCAGTTACCAATTGGATAGGAGGTTTTTTTAGTTCTATTCCCTCTCTTTAAAAAATTTTTTGCTCTGTTGCATGACAGACACCAAACACATAGTTACTATCAGTGTGACTATACACATACACACACACACACACACACACATATATATATATACATACACTTTAAGTCTGGTTAAAATAAAAACTTTAGGCAAATTAAATTGATTAATTAATTAACAGAGTTTAATTGAGCAAAGGATGATTTAGGAGTCAGACAGCCCCCAGAACCACGATACGTACAGAGCGACGCTGGCACTGCCATGTGGTCAGAGAGGATTTCTAAACAGAAAAAGGAAAGTGAACAGAAAACAGAAGTGAGGTACAGAAATAGCCAGGTTAGTTACAGCTTGGTGTTTGCCTTATTTGAACATGGTGTGAACAGTTGACTGCCTGTGATTGACTGAAACTCGGCTGCTATAATTGGCTAAGATTCAGCTGTTTGTTACAAGAGTAGGTTATAGTCTCTTTACACATCCAGTTAGATTACAGTTCACTATGTATGAAGAAACTTTTAGACCAAATTTAAATATGTAAGGAGGTAGCTTTAGGTCAAACTTAATCTAACAAATCGTCTCTTTAGGCTGTTTATGTCACTCTGTTCCTATCATAAATGTTCTTATTTGGACTCAAATCCCACTGGGAAATAGCAGAACGGTGGATTTTGTAAGGTGGGAACAAGGACTTCAGGTTACTTTTCTGTAAGGGTTACACCAGAAAGGGCTCTCTCTCTCTCTTTCTTTTTGATAAGGAGTTTCACTCTGTCACCCAGGCAGGAGTGCAGTGATGTAATCTCGACTCGCTGCAACCTCCACCTCCTGGGTTCAAGAGATTCTCCCATCTGAGCTTCCCAAGCAGCTGGGATTAACCACGCCCAGCTAATTTTTGTACTTTTAGTAGAGATGGGGTTTTGCCCTGTTGCTTATGCTGGTCTGAAACTCCTGGGCTCAAGCAAAAAGTGCTGGGATTACAGGTGTGAGCCGCCGCACTGGGCCAGAAGGGGCTTTCTCCTGCTGGAGTCTCCTGTTTTCAGGAGAGAGAGAGAGAAAACAAACAAACAAACAAACAAACAACCGTAGTCTGTTTTGGGATCTATCTGCTTCCATACAGTTTCAGTTTGATTATGTCACATTTAGCATGAGTGACTCCATGGACCAAAGATTCTATTGCTGCAGTGTAGGTAGCAGGGCAGTCTTTTTCTGATGTTTTTAGAAGCCTCAGTCTCCAGGTTCTAGATCATAAAGAGTTTCATTGTCTTCAGTTAGTCCATCATGAAAAGCTTCCTTTATCTGGAAAAAAAATGCACTTTGGCATAAAGCATTAAAGATTTGCAGCATTCAGTCATTTCAGAGTTTAGAAGCAGAGGATACACGAGGCCCTATTATTAGGGGCACAAACCTTCTAGTGACTATTTCATAAGGGGTCAACTTATATTTTCCATTGAAAGTGGATCTAATTGTAATCAATCTGCAATACCATTGACTAAGGCAATCCAGTCGATTCAGTTAGCTTTGTCTAATGCTGTTGTATCTATAAACTTTATTTAACTGTTTTACAACTTGTCCAGTGAAACAAATACCTCTATCATTGAAGATTTCTCCAGAATGCCCCATGGGGAAACACATTTCCTAATAACCTCTTAGCCACTGTTATGCCATCAGCCTTCTTACATGAAAAAGCTTCTAAACATCTAGAAAACATGCACTGAAAATGGCAGAGAAATAAAATCCCTCTATAAACGTCCAAATGGCACATCAGGTAGCAAAAACCTGAAGTTTCTATTGTCTTCCATATATATAAATTGCAGAGCTTTTAATAGTGGAGGCTTTATGGACGCAGGAGGGACCATGTGGTTATCCAGGTTCTCCATGAGTCCACAATTAACAACTAATTTATATTCTCTTAAACACCAGTTTTGTTTCTCCAATACAGATGCATAGCACTGTTTATTAGATGAGTTATCAGAGGTAATTTGGCTTGGACCGTGGAGTTTACTGAAACTGCAGATCTTAACAATTTCATTACCGGCTTATATAGCATGAAAATCTGGCAAAGTATTTCCTTGGTATTCAATTAATTCTTGTCTTGCTTGGATTAACAGTTTTATAAACCAGTCAGTCTCTTCATTAGAATTCTGGGAATTCTTACCCAGTGTAAATGATATCAGGGTCCTTTCTATCCTTTCCATGAACCTTTTAGGAGACACAATACTTTAGCAATTTATTTGCTTCTGAAGAGCTTTCAGAAAATGCATCAGGGCTGGGCACGGTGGCTCACACCTCTAATCCCAGGACTTTGGGAGGCTGAGGTGGGTGGATCTCTTGAACCCAGGAGTTCAAGAGCAGCCTGGGCAACCTAGTGAGACCTCGTCTCTGAAAAAAAGAAAAAAAAAAAAAAAGGAAGAAAGAAAAAAGAAAATGCATCAGAATTAAGCAGTTAACTGTGGAAACAACTTAAAATAGTCATGGTTAAAGACAAAATTGACAAATAAATTGTTATTTCTGTTGCATAATAACCATAATTATAACCAATAACATAACAAGGCATATCAGAATTTTAGGAATCTCTTATAATTTTGAAACATATATTAAAAACATATCCATAAAAATATAACTTGAAGAAGGTTAAACATCGTTTCTTGTTTCACAATGTCTCTCATGTAATTTAACATATCAGATAAGCCTGTTCATTATCCCCGTTTTGGATGCTGCAGGGATGCACTGTAATATCCCAAAGTTAGTGTGAAGCCAAAGTGACTTAATTTTGAATCTGAAATTTCAATTTGGAAAGCCTGTCAAATACACCAAATGTTTAAAACACTTAATCAAAGTAGTATCACATGTCACCGTAAAATAATAGTCATTCATTTAGTCAAAGTGATAATTAAAAGATTCTGAAAGCAAAAACCTTTACTCTTTGATAGTGAAGAGGCTCAGTTTTCCAAATAATGCAAAGGCCTAATAAAGACAGCCTAAGACAGAATCTTTCTCTCTTCTCTTCCCCTTTTCTTTTTTGCAGTTTCCTCAAAAGGTGAACAAAAATATTTTACTGACTCTGATTCATACTACATAAAATTCTTCTTTAAGAGAAACCAAATTTTACTATTGTATTAGTGTCTTATCAACACGAAAGTTAATTTGACTAAAACCTTACAAACAAATTCATCCAATCTCGGGCAGCTTTTGAACACACAAGATAAGATTTTCATAAAACTTTTTTAGCCTCTCACAAAATTTTTCTATTTTATCTTTCCCCAAATTTTTATACCCATGTAATTTTATCTATATATTTTATTTCTTCAATTTGAAATAAACTTGAAATAGCTTCTAAACTAGACAAAATTATTTTTTTCAACATACACACATCTTCATGCCTTTACAACTTTCCTCACCAAAAATATATCTTCCATTTTTAAAAAAATACATTCTGTATATAAAATTGTTTCTTTTCTATCTGGTAGTTTTATTTACATATATTAACCTTAATTTTAACTCTTAATAACCCTAATTTCTAGCAAAAACCTAGGAAGTAATTTTAAACTGTTTTATATCAGTATTTGTAGATGAAAATCATTTCCTAATGTTTTAAGAAAGATGTTTCTTCAGTTTTTCTTATTTATTAACAGATCTAATTATATTTAGCTTCTCTATACTATGTAAAAGTAAGATGCCAAGATATATAAACTTAAACTTAGGTTAAATAATTAATGTTTCAATATTTTAACTTACTTAGAAATAACTCAAACATGTTATGACTATCTATTGGTTAATTTAACAGATTAAAGATTTTAAATTACTGAAAAGAATTTTCAAACTATGACATAGGTACCCTCCCGAATATCTTCCCTAATCATCCTGGGCCCTAAGTACCCATATGGCACCCAAGGCAGTTCTGTAGTGAAGGGCTCATCTGGGTCTTGAATTTACATACCAGGTGTAGAGGTCAGGACAGAGGACAACTGTGAAGATGATACCTGGAGGATCAAACCCCTCCTGGCATGGCCAGCTGGCAACACTGGTTCAGGGAGAATGTGCCATTGGAGGTTGGCTTTGCTTTGCAGAGAGTGGTCCAGGCACTGAGGACATATTCCCAGGCCTCACCATGGTCACCTTGTTACCAGCAGTGAATCCATGTGGGTCTGCATCAGCCTCAATTCTTGCCTCCTCAGAAGAAAGAATTTGACTCAAGGGCATAAGGCAGAAGGAGAGAGAGGCAAGTTTTAAAGCAGGAGTGAAGTTTGTTAAAAAACTTTACAGCAGGAACAAAAGGAAATAAAATACATTTGGAAATACTTGACCCTCTATATTTGGAAAAGGGCCAAGCAGATGACTTGAGAGATCAGGTGCATGATTCGACCTTTGACTTGGGGTTTTATATGTTGGCATACTTCTGGGGTCTTGCATCCCTTCTTCTGTTATTCTTCCTTTGGGTTGGCTGTCCGCATGAGCAGTGGCCTGCTAGCACTCGGGAGAGGAGCATGTGCAGTGTGTTTACTGGAGATGTATGCATGCTCACCTGAGGCACTCTTCCCTTATCAAACGTCCCTAGAAAGTCATACACCAGTTAAATTCTGCCATTTTGCCTCTTAATGCACGCCCAACTCCTGAGATCTTATCGGGAAGCTGCTGATCACCAGTTTCAGGTTTTTCTATCTATGAACTGCCTTTCCTTGGCACTGGCTGCAACCAATTAGTGTTTTAGAGAGACAGTTAACAACCACCTGACCATCACTTGATAATCACCTGACATTCAGGTTGGGGGAGGGAGGGCTCTCCCTCTCTGCTCATATCTTACTAGCTACCTATTGTAACAACCTGTCCAGATCCCAGAATCCAGAGGCTCAAAATAAAAAAACAAGCTCACAGTAAGACATGTGCAAGGCTTCAATGTAGCCCAGCATCTGTGCCTTACAGCTTTAGCTAACAGACAAATTAGGCAAATGTCAAAGATATCGTTTCATAACTTTAAAACATGTCATGGAGACAACATAAATCTGTCTGACCAGTAGATCCAGGCAAAAATGTCTGTATTATATTTAACTGACAATTCTGAAGCCAATACTATTTTATTTTACCAATACTTTTAAAATTAGTTTTCTAAATCAAATATTATTACATACACATAACACATATAGACATACAGACACACATGACAGAAGCAAATTTTATAGCTTTCATAAAGATTCTCATTTGCCAGCTCTCAAACAGTTTTTCTATTTTCCCCGTTGTGACAATCAATCTTCCAATTATCTGTTCCATCGTTCTAAGCAATTGTTAGCTAGGCAACCCTAGATTTGCATTTCTAATGGGATGACTCTTAAGTAAAATAAGGTAGGAAATTTCTATCTCAAAAATCAGAGAACTGAGACTTCTGACCTAAATATTGTACCATAATTTGCCCAAACCAAGAATCAGGATGTAGGTAAAGGCCTAGTTAAGACAAGATGGGAAGAAAAACACCTTAAACAAAGGTAAGATTTGTTCTATAAATTTAAACCAATGATAGGAGTTTCTAGTGACTCAGTCCTCCCTCTTTTCCAAGTGCACAGAGGCAGACACCCTTACAAATGAAGATTTCCTTTATAGATGTAAATTTTATTTACAAAAGCATTTCAAAGCAGCCAGCTAAATGTCAGAAAGGTGTATTTTTGAGAATGATTTAGTTCAATAGGCAGGTTTTTTTTTTTTTTTTTTTAACTTAGCTACTGTTTCTTCGCTAAAATTACCAAGTTCAGGGTGGAGTACATTGAGAAATAGGGCAAAGAAAGCATTCTGTATGTCTGGACTCAGCACGAATAGCTCTGAAAAAGAAGCAAACCTACTTTACCTGAGGCCCTGTATTTTATAAACCCTTTATCCAGGATGGCTTTCTTTTTACTTTTGGCGGTGGAATAGTTATTAAGCCAAAATGGTAGCAGATTTAATTTTTCTTATCAATTAGTTGCCTAAGGTTTTTATTTGCCTTTTATAAAGAGTCTTTTAAAAGAGGTAATAAAAATGTTGAAACCTTTTTAGAAGCTTCTGCACATAAATAGGCATCCCTGGGTTAGCCTAATTTGGGAGCTTTCATTTTTAAATGCACTTTTTAAAGCACAATGTTTTTCATTTGGAACATTCCACTGTAATTTTAAAATATCTTTAGTAACATTTCACCATTTTTGTAAGCATTTGCTGTTTCTAGGGCCTAATACTTATACATGTAAATGTAGGCATAGCCAGAAGGGGGAGTATTCAGTTCTTCAGAAATTAAGAATCCCATTTTTACCTTGACCATTTAGATCCCGTTGATCAACTTAGCCAATGAATTTTCTCCTACCTAACAGTGCCAGATAAACAACAACAACAACAACAACAACAACAACAATTAAGGGGATAGGACACAAAAAATCTGACAAATTTCTGAAAGCCGAACATTTGACGCCCTGCAGAATTGCAATGCACTGTTAGTTCCTGTCTTGCACAGTCAGACAGCCAAACAACTAACTGGATGCAAGCAGTTAATTATCAGATCCAATCTGATCCTAGACCCAGTCAGTTTTCATTGTAAACTCCAGAACACAGTTCGGATAAAAATGTGCTCTAACAAGCTCAGGTAGCTCAAAACACAAATCCATGTAGCTATAGAATCCAAGAGAGCTTACCCATGATTCCCAGTTGCTGTGAGAAAACAATGAACACAATGGGGCCAGCAGGTACCTTGCTTGGTTACTTGATGCTCCTGGGGGTCACTGGAAGCTCTATTTCAGATGCTACTTCTGACACCTTTAAAAGAAAACCTTTGGACAAATGAACAGAGCTTAATTGAGCAAAGGACAGTTTGTGAATCAGGGAGTCCCCAGAACCAGAATATGTTCAGAGAGACGCTGGTGCTGCCATGTGGCTGGAGAAGATTTATGGACAGAAAAAAGAAAGTGATGTACACAAAATGGAAGTGAGGTGCAGAAGCAGCCAAACTGGTTAGTTTGGCATTTGCTTTATTTGAACATGGTTTGAATAGTTGGTCACCTGTGAGTGGCTGAAGTATGGCTGCTGTGATGGGCTGAGACTCGGCTTCTTGTCCCAAGAGTAGGTTATAGTCTGTTTACACATCCAGTTACGTTACAGTTCACTATGTACAGAAAAGCCTTTAGGCTGAATGCAAAATCTGTAAAAAGGCAGCTTTAGGTAAAACATAATTTACTAGTTCATAACTAAGAATTGGAGCTCTAGTAACTGCTGATAACTCGGTTGCTTGTGCTGATTTAATTCCAGACAAAACATAAGCTTCCAAAATTTCATGAGAAGTCACCACACTATAGAAAGTCTTCAGTCATCCTTTCTTAGCCCAGGACCATGACTCAAATCTGCATTGTGAAACTGGAAGTCTAATAAATCAGGCCAGGGCTTAATATCTTCCATTACCATTGTTCAGTCGTGATCATCTATTTAATCAGAATCTCATAAGAGGGTAGTAGGGTTTAGGAGACTGCACCTTCCAAGTACAATGTTAGGACTACATAATAATGCTTGTTCACAGTTAGTTCAATGGCACACTGACAAATGCTAGGCTTTAGGGACTTGTAAGATTGCTGTCACAGCATGTGGGACATGCAAATAAGTCATGTGACCCAAGATAAGACTTTGGGCTTTTTCAGTAAGAATGCTAGCTACCTCTTCCTCTTGCGGACACCCAGGCATTCTCAGTGCAGTGGTTTCTAGAACTGATAAATAAACTATTGGCCTATAGTTTAATCCCAACTTTTTAGCTAATATTTCATTAGCAGCACCTTTATTTTCATAACAAAACAAGTGGAAAGGTTTTCAAAATTGAGATTCCTCAAGACTAGGGGAAAAGTTATAGCTAATTTCAGTTGTTCAAAAGCCTCCTCAGATTCTAAAGACCAGGGAGAGTTATCACGCAATTGCTCATGGAAGGTTTTGCACACTCAGCAGAAGTTGGGATTCATTGTTTTCAATGCCCTACTAATCCCTAAAATTGTCTCAATTGTTTTTCTATAGAAAGTTGCTTGATATGCAAAGTCGACTGACTCCTAGACCGTAACACTTTACAGTCTTCAGCAGACAGTAGATGCTTTAATCTATTTTGTGTTGCTGCTTAGTTTCTGAGGCTACCAGTCAATCATCTACACATTGATTAATTGTAGATTCCTCTGGTGGAACAAATTTCTCTAAGTTTTCCTAAAAATAACTAGAGAAAATAGTAGGGGGGCATTATTTGTAGGAATTATTTGCCACAGATATTGGGCCTTTTCGTAAGTAAAAGCAAAAAACATTTAGACTTGCCCAGTAGAGGAACAGAAGAAAAAGCAAAATACAGACTAATCACAGAAAAAAAAATTGTAGATGACAGTACCAAAGTTGGAATAGTTACAGGGTTAGGGGCCACAGGAGTTAATGGAACAATAAGTTCATTTATGTCTCCAAGATCTCATGCAAACCTGTATATCTCTATGAAACTTACCTTCCTTCTTTACTAGAAGTGTGGTATATAACAGGGTGAATGTCCTTTTTAAGTTATTCCCTTGCTGGCCGGGCTCAGTGGCTCACGCCTGTAATCCTAGCACTTTGGGAAGCCAAGGCAGGCAGATCACCTGAGGTCAGGAGTTTGAGACCAGTCTGGCCAATATGGTGAAATCCTGTCTCTACTAAAAATACAAAAATTAGCCAGGCATAGTGGCACGTACCTGTAGTCCCAGCTACTCAGGAGGTTAAGGCACAAGTATCGCTTGAACCCGGGAGGCGGAGGTTGTAGTGAGCTGAGATCACGCCACTGCACTCCAGTCTGGGCAACAGAGCAAGACTCTGTCTCAAAAAATCATACATACATACATACATACATAAGATAATATCTTGCTTCCCTTCTTTTTAAATAGAGACAGGGTCCCTCTATGTTGCCCAGCCTAGTCTCGAACTTCTAGGCTCCAGTGATCCTCCTGATCCTCCTGCCTCAGCCCCTCAAAATGCTGGGATTATAGGTGTGAGTCACCATGCCTGGTCCCTTTTCTTCTATAAGGCACATAGTAACCATTTCAGGTGCTCTTTTGTTCAAGGAGCTTCACAAATAGGCCATCTGGAGTACAAAATGTAGTAGCCTTTAATTTGCAGAGTAGGTCTCTCCCCAGTAGGTTTATAGGAGATACAGGAGAAAGTCAGAATGAAGGTACCTTAGTAAGAGCACCTGTCTGTTTGGGAATCCAAGAGAAAAAGGAATAAATGGAGGCTGATGCAAAATACCAACATCTTGTACTGATCAGTTACCAGATGGAAAGCAGGAATTTTCTGAGGAAACTGCAGAATAAGTAGCACCAATATCTACCAGAAAATCCAAGGATGGATGGGGTTCAGTAAAAGTCCTTGACATAGATGGTTTACCACTTCCCACCTCTGAGATTCCCCCAATCTGTCAATTTTGAGCCATTTGCCAACTATTTCCTAGCTGAGGGTTTCACCTTTCTCGGCTTTCCTGACTCTCCTGTCTCTGCAATTTTGGTATCCTCCCGAGTCTCTTTCTATAGTCCTTCCAGTGCCCTGGTATTTTGCAATAACAACATTCAGTTTTCTCCTCTTCCTTTGCTATCTTTATACTTTGCCCGGTATAGGGATTATCCTCCTTAGTAAATAAGTCTCACTGAGCAGCCAACAGCAGTCTTTAATCTCTGTTGTTCTTCTTTGTCTTATCCCTAAACTGAGTAGTGGCTGCTGCTAGGATTTGAACAATAGTCTGTCCTTGCTATCCTAACACCTTTTCCTTAATTTGGGCTTGGCTAGTCAGCAAGAGAGCAGAGACAAAGTTTGCCAAGATTAGGAAGTGATTTTATCTGCTCCTGGGTCCATGCTAGTAAATTCTGAGAAAGCCTCCACAAACTGCTGCTGGAAATCAATGGAGGACTCATTCTTATTCCAGGTACACCATTGCAACTTCTCCCAACTTACCATTAGTGGAAAGGCTTCAAGTACTGCTGCTAGCAGCCGCTCTGGATGGATCTCTAACATGCTCAGTTCTGTAGTTGTAGGGAGTGGTAATCAATTTCCTCTGGTCACAGTGCCACCTTAGGTGGTGGATCATCTCCAGGTCCTCAAACAAGCAAAATGGGCTGGTTGCAGGATTCCCCACAAGACTCAAGTCAGTGCACATCCCTATGTGCAGGGCTGTAAACTAAAAACAAGCTGTGGAGCATTTCTGCAAACTTTTGTGTATCTTCCCGGGGTACAGGAAAAGTCCTTTAGATGGATGATATCGGCAGGAGAGAAGAGCACATAGGTGCTAAATGTTTCCTTTGCATCCAAGGGAACCGGGGGGCTTCTCAGTGGCATCAGATTTGCTGGTGATCTGAGTAAAAAGGATTGGTTTTCTTTGCATTAAGATAGGAAAAAGGTAGGATTATATGGCATCTTGGTTTGTTTTTCCATACTGGTATATTTATGAACCTAATACCTTTTTGTTTGTCTTTTTCCAAGTAACTCTCCATCCTGCTGCCTTCATACAGGGACATAGTCTTTTATCTGAGTTCTCAATTATTCCAGGATCTTGATTATTTAATTTTATCTTTTTCACCTTTCTAGCTAAATGGTGTGTGGATGAGAAGGGGTCCCTGGAGGTGAAATCTGGTCTAAGGCAAGAAGTGGACTTGGGGATAGGCCAGGGGGCAGTCAATTCTACGTACTCAAACAGGGCGGTAACTCATTTGCAGCTGGAAAAGTGGCATCCTTTTTTCTCTTCTCATGGAACCCGCTAAGGAGGGAAACCACTTGTCTAAAAGCTCATCACGCATCCCTTTCCAGGAGTCAATCTGAGACAAGGAGGGATAAAGTGAGGCAGCAGGAACGGAGGGAACAAGAATAATCAATGGAAGAGGTTTCTGTGAAAGAGAAAGTGCTCTTAATTCTTGTATTTCCTGTTCTATTTTTTTGTTTCAGTCTTTCTCTCTGGTTATCTAAATCACTTTTAAGTTTCCTCTTAGAATAATATTCATCCCACAAGTACCAGTAACTCATTTGCTTGACATAAGGACTTTCCGAGAACTTCCGCAAATGCAGTAATTTATCCAAATCAAAGGGAGCCATCCCTAGGCCACTGCAGGACTAGGATCTGATGTGTATATCCATTCCAAATGTGAGAGAGAGACGTAAGCCATTCAAGAGAGTCCAACAGGCAACATTCCTGGCATCCCATATTTTTCTACCATGAACCTAATGGTGATCTTGATGAGATTTTAGAGCCTGTACTTCACATGTTTAGTCAATAGCAAAAGCTTGAATTTGTTATCATCCAATTACTATTCCAAACAAGTAGAGAGGGAGAAGGAGACTTTTTAAAAATCAGGGTCTCTTACCTGACTGTGTGTGGACACAGACCTTCAGTTGTCTACTTCATTCAGAAACTGCCAGCCATCTTACCTTCATTCACAAAAATTATTGAGAAAATTAAAAAACCAAGATCTTGTCCCAACCCAGAAATTCCCTCCACAAATGTAGTAGAGAAACAAAACACTTTTTTTAATTTAATTTTTTAAATAATTTTTTTTTTTTTGAGATAGTTTCTCTCTTGTTGCCCAGGCTGGAATGCAATGGTGTGATCTTGGCTTACTACAACCTTTACCCGGGTTCAAGAGATTCTCCTGCCTCAGCTTCCTGAGTAGCTGAGATTACAGGCAGGCACCACCATTCCCAGCTAATTTTGTATTTTTAGTAGGGATGGGATTTCTCCATGTTGGTCAGGCTGGTCTCAAACTCCCAACCTCAGGTGATCCGCCTGCCTTGGCCTCCCAAAGTGCTGGGATTACAGGCGTGAGCCACTGTGCCCAGCCTAAATAATTTTTATATAAAAAAATAGAGACAGGGTCTTGCTATGTTGCCCTGGCTGATCTCAAACTCCTGGACTCAAATACTCCTCCTGCCTCAGCCTCCCAAAGTGTTGGAATTATAGGCATGAACCACTGCACCTGGTCATACAACATTTTTATTTTTATTATTGAATAACCATTTCTTTGTATTAGTGAATAACCATTAAACCAGAATGTGATGTGCATCACATGCAATTGCTAAGAGATTGCAAAGGCAGAAAGGAAACTCCCCCCTTAAACAGCCAAGCAGATACAACCCAGTACATTCATGCTCCCAAGATAAACAATCACTAGTCCTTAAGTAAGAGACAACACCTTTTGTCACACAGAGTTTGTCCTAACTTTATCTTGGTAATTGGGGAGACCACCTGTGTTAGCTTTATTTGGAGGAATAACAAACTTTCCATATCTTTATGACAGAAGGTAGTTTTGCAAATTGGGGCAAGGCGCCCACTGAAGTTAGGCTGTAACCCTCCCACAGGAACTGGGAGATAGGGACACTATCTTCTGTGATGGTTGCATTTCAAAAAGATGACTCCCAGGCCCTTGAGGAAACATTCCTGAATTGAGAAACTTATTTAGTCATAGGGAAGATTTATATACGTTTGAAAAGGAAGGACAGAAAAATTCTGAAAAAAGAGTTGAGGATTGCAGGGCAGGGTTGATGGCGGTGTGTCTTTTATTTTTATTTTCAAGAAGGAGAATTAGGTCTTCTATTATTTTTTAAATTTTTATTTTATTTTGTTTTGTTTATAAAGACAGGGTCTTGCTATGTGCCCAGGCTAGCGACAAACTTCTGGGCTCAAGCACTCCTCTTCTCTCAGCTTCCCAAGTAGGTGGGACTACAGGTGCATGACACCACACCCAGCTTTAGGCCCTTTATTTTTCATTTTTACTTGCTATCACATTAGGGAGAGAAATATTTACCTGTTTTCCTCTACCTCCGAATTAGGATCAGATTCTCAGATCTGAAAGGTACTTGAAAGAAAAATTCCATCCAGGCCTCTGCCTTCGGGCAGCTGAATGTTGAAATCATTTAGAATCTGTAGTTGTCTGGTCACCTCTGATGATCTCCAAGGATGGAGATGTCGCCATTTCCATTGGTAGTACCTTTCAGTTTTTTAGCAACCAGCTAGGTTCATAGTTCTTCCTTTTGCCTATCTGAAGTCCTTCCTGCTATAAATTAATCATCAGATAAATAATACCACAAACTAATTAATTTATCATCAGATCTAGATGACGCCTTAGTGTCTTGACAGTGTCACCCTGTGCACACATTATCCTCCTTGAAGATAACTCTCAGCTGTGCCCCTTGACATCTACTTGGTCAGGGGAAGTAAACTAGCCATATGATTCAATATTTTTAGAAAGCCACTCAAATCATACATCCTTTATACAACGCATTTAGCACTCCAGTAATTCTGCCTTTTAAACTTTTTTTTTTTTTTTTTTTGAGACGAAGTTTCTCTCTTGTTGTCCAGGCTGGAGGGCAGTGGTGCAATCTTGGCTCACTGCAACCTCTGCCTCCTGGGTTCAAGCGATTCACCTGCCTCAGCCCCCCAAGTAGCTGGGATTATAGGCACCTGCCACCACGCCTGGCTAATTTTTTTGTATATTTAGTAGATACGGGGTTTCACCATGTTGACCATGCTGGTCTTGAACTTCTGACCTCAGGTGATCCACCCGCCTCGGTCTCCCAAAGTGCTGGGATTACAGGCATGAGCCACCACGCCAGGTTAAACAATCTTTTCACTATAACACATGCAGCAATGAACATTTTTGAATCTGTTTTCCTCATTTGTTTTTTTTTTTTTTTTTTTTTTTTTGAGACAAGTCTGCTTGTCGCCAGCTGAGCATGCGCGATTCGCTCACTGCAACTCCCTCCCGGTTCACCCATTCTGTCCTCCGAGTACTGGACTACAGCGCCACACCGCCCTAATTTTTGATTTTATAGAGACGGGTTCACCGTTCATCTCCTGACCTTGATCCGCCCCTCGCCTCCAATGCTGATACAGCGTGAGCCACCCCCCTCCTCATTTGTTTTAAGAAAGCATAATGCTTACTTCATAGGATTATTATGTTATGTATAAATTATTTTCCATGCAGTATATCTTACCTGCCTAAAGCTCCATGAAGGGATCATGCCCTTCGCTATTTGATATCTTCCATAATGCCTGGCAGAATGACTAACACAGAGAAAAACTAGGCCTAGTGGGGAAGGGAAAGATATATTCCATGGTGACAGATTTCAGCTCAATCTAGGAAAAAGCTGTCTAACAATTAGAACCATTCTGCCATGAGTGTCTCAGGGATTACTGGGATCTCAGTGGCTATCAATAGTTAAGTAGAGACTTTAAGACTGCCCATCATGGTGAAATATGAAGCATGTCTGCAATGAGTAGGATATTTAATTCATAGGTTACCCCGAAGAGAGTTTGAAACAGGTTTTTTTACTCTTAAAGGAAAAAAGAAAGCAATTACTTACTGAAATGTACTGAGGGCTGGATTTCTGTTCAAGTTCCTGACCCTTCTTTCCATCTCTCAGCCCCAGAGGAGAGGTGAAACTGATGTCAAGGTTCCCGGGGGATGTTTAGACAATGGAGAAAAAGCATGCACAGTTAAACACTCGAAGTCACTATACTGTCTACCATCACATACCAAAGGGGAGGTGGGGAAAGGGAGGGAGAAAGAGCATTCCACTTTTGTCATAAAGATTTGTTACAACGCAATCAGATAACTAGAAGGGAGTAGATGCTGGAAGATAAGAACACCTCCCAGAGAGTAACACACTGGGAAGACCATTTTTGGCTTCCACTTGTGGCTCCATAGATATGATCAGTATTGGGGTTTTTCTTGACAAACAATCTTATCTCTTGCCTGCATTCTCAGTTCCCTTTCCCTTCTTCTGTCTTCTTGTCTGCATATAGGAAGACTAGTGGAGGTGAGGCTGGGGCAGCCCCTGCCACCTAAGTCGTACTCTCCGGTGAGAGAATGCGCTGGACATGTGGTAGGAAAGGGGATATTTCAGATTATCTCAATTTGAGCATTTTCCTAAACTAGCTTTTTGTTGAACCTGCGATGATGGCTGATATGTTTTGGCTGTGTCTCCACCCAAATCTCCACTTGAATTGTATCTCTCAGAATTCCCACATGTTGTGGGTGGGACCCAGGGGGAGGTAATTGAATTATGGGGGCCGGTCTTTTCTGTCCTATTCTCAAAGTAGTGAATAAGTCTTACGAGATCTGATGGGTGCATCAGCGGTTTCCGCTTTTGCTTCTTTCTCATTTTTCTCTTGCTGCCTCAATGTAAGAAGTGCCTTTTGCCTCCCGCCATGATTCTGAGGCCTCCCCAGCCATGTGGAACTGTAAGTCCAATTAAACCTCTTTTTCTTCCCAGTCTCAGGTGTGTCTTTATCAGCAGCATGAAAAGAGGCTAATACAATGGCCTATGGTAGGTCAGCTCCCATAGAAATAGGCGGATGCTATGTTAAAAAGAGCATAAGGAATAAAGCCATTTTATAGGCCTGTTTGAAGGGAATAAAAATGTTTTCCCCCCAAACATACTTCTTTGACATATTTTGAGATGGTTGTTCAGAGAACTTGCAAAGAGAAGTAGTCCTGCAAAGCTGTCTTGTGTGGGGGAGATTTGCATCTGTATAGAGTCTGCATTGATGCAGCAGGCTTTCTCTGAGGCCCTCCCTTGTCTGGATGTAGGAAAGGTTAACTGAGAGTCCGACACCTTTAAAGGTCTGGAAGAAACATTTACCATCTATTCTGTCTGAGGGCTGCTACCCGTGAGGTTCATCTACAGAGCAAGCCCACCTTTGCTAGTCAGTCCTCCTCTTCTTCCCCTCCCATACCCTGTCTTACCATCATAGTCAGATTTACCATTGTCATCATCTGTTCGTATTACTATAAAGGAATACATGAGACTGAGTAATTTATAAAGAAAAAAATGTGTATCTGGCTCTCAACTCTGCTGGCTGGGAGAGTGTGTCTGGTGTCTGGTGAAAGCCTCAGGCTGCTTCCATTCATGGTGGAAGATAAAGGAGAGCTGGCATGTGCAGAGATCACATGGCAAGAGAGAAAGCAAGAGAGAGGGTAGGTGCCAGGCTATTTTTAACAACCGGCTCTCATGGAAACTATTAGAGCAAGGATTCACTTATTACCATGAGCTTTTCATGAGGAATCTGTACCCCCATGGCAAACACCTCCCATTAGGCCCTAATCCCAAGGTTGGGTATCAAATTTCAACATGAGGGTTTGGGGGACAAACATCCAAACATAGCAACCCATAACCTGTTTTGGGTCAGGCTGCAAGCCCCTATTCTTTCTGTAACCTCAGTATGGTATATAAGCTTCTGAACCCTGTTGGGAGGTTGGGGCAATCACTCTGTGGTTCTCTCCTCTGCTTGTTAATAAATTTGTATGCCATTTCTCCTATTCATCTGCCTTCTTGTCAGCTGACTTTCAGCGACCCTTCAGAGGGCAAAGGGGAAGTTTTCCCTTGGCCCCTATAGTTTTGGCACTGTGAGCAGGATACCAAAACTCTGTTCTTCTGGAAGCTACAGACAAGAAAACTCAGGATCAGACACACCAGCAGAAGGATAAGAAATTTCTACCAGCAAGGCTCCTTGCCTCTGTGTGTAATCTGGTCAAATGGACGGTAAGAATCACTGTCTCTGTTTCCCCTTTAAAATCTTGACTAATGGGAGAAAAAGATTTACGTGACTAGTCTTTGGTATAGTGACTCTGGTGTACATTTTGGTATAAATATTCATAATGTTGAACCCTTTTCTCCCCAAAACGGTATTTTTCTTTGTCTTTTTGTGTTGCCTATCATAAAGTGGGATACCACAGGGCAGAACACAAACCTAAAACCCTCATAAGTCTGTTGTTCAGGCCAGCCCTGTGGATTAACCAATTTCGCAGTTCTGATCAGACTGGCATTTATTTAGACAAACTGCTGTGGGTCTTTGATATAAAAACCAGATGAGGTTCCATTCTTATCTTGTTTTATGACCTTGAGAACTTGGCTTGTGACCAAGCAGGAGCATTGTCTCTTGGTCTCTGCCATCATGGCAGAGGGAGGGATATAGTTTTTGGTTCAAATTAGTGGCCAGCCTAAAAAGATTTGGAATCCTGAGACATATCAGCACACACTTTTTTTTTTTTTTTGAGATGGAGTGTAGTAGGATGAGCCAAAGATGAAACTCCTCAGACACCAAGTTAAAGAAGAAAGGGGTTTATTCAGCCGGGGGCATCAGCAAGACTCCTGTCTCAAGAGCTGAGCTCTCCGAGTGAGTAATTCCTGTCCCTTTTAAGGGCTCACAACTCTAAGGGGGTGCCCATGAGAGGGTCGTGATCAATTGAGCAAGCAGGGGGTACATGACTGGGGGCTGCATGCACCGGTAATTAGATCAGAACAAAACAGGATAGGGGTTTTCACAGTGCATTTCTATACAATGTCTGTAATCTATAGATAACATAACCAATTAGATCAGGGGTCAATCTTTAACCACCAGGCCCAGGGTGTGGTGCTGGGCTGTCTGCTTGTGGATTTCATTTCTGCCTTTTAGTTTTTACTTTTTCTTTCTTTGGAGGCAGAAATTGGGCATAAGACAATATAAGGGGTAGTCTCCTCCCTTATTTCCCCCTTTGAGACTCACTCAATAGTGGGAGTTCTCACTTTCATTCTCACTACCCATGTCTTCTTGCAAGACAGATAGATAGTGATTCATATAGTACACTTGTGCTGAAGCATTTTGGTGAACTAAGGTAGCGATGAAGCTTTTTATCATTTGAAGAAGTACAGGTAGCAAACAAGGGAGCAGTAAGCAGGTTCCTATTACTATTATAACTCTTATTATAAGAGTTTTAAATCCTCTTAGTGCTGGCAACCATTTTCCAAACATGGCCCCAGGATCAAATCCATGTCACACTTTCACGGGCACATATGCCAGTTTTGTCATATCTCTAACTATGTCTTCAACTACTTGCCCTTGATTATCTATGTGTAGGCAGCAATTAGTAAGGTTAAATTTCCTACAGACCTCTCCTTCAGCTGCTAGCAAGTAGTTGAGAGCTAATCTATTTTGATAGATAGCATTTCTCATCTGAGTTTCTTGCTGGGCCAGAATAGTCAAGGCTTTGCTGGTTTTATTAGTGATTATTTTTAAGACAGCTTGTAACCATATGATTCGGTTGATCATGTAAATGGGGGTCCGGTATCCCCATGAGACATCTTGTGCCTAAGTAGCAGGCCTATAATATTATATGATTCTCTCAGGGGGCCATTTATCATTTTTTCAATTTCCTATAGCTATGCTTCTCTTTTCACGGGAAGCATAGACAGGGAAGCCCAGGAGTTCGCCTGTTTTTATGGGCAATAGGAAGAAAGATGGTTTAATAGTGCCAATAACACAACTACCTGCCCACTGGTCAGGTAATTTGGCATAAGCTCTATGCCCACATATCCAGTATAATCCAGTGGAGACTGTCCAGTTCTGGTGGGACTCCAGGTAGGTCCATATGGTTTGCAACTTTGGGAATTTACTAAATGGATTTCTCTCTGTGTGATTTGAACTTCACCAAGTGACTGTTTTTGTGGTACCATTATACAGGTTCTGTCTCAGACAACTAAGTTGTCCTATGTGGTGAGTGAATTCTTTTCCTTCTCTAGCTATGCAATATTGTCCAATAATTGAGGCTTTCAGGACCCATAAATTATCAGAGTGATTATTTTGAGCTGGGAATTCATCAGGAACTGGGTCTGTAGGTACTAATTCTTGGGCTTCCCATGGCCATTGATCTCCTATTACAGTTCCTCCACATACATAACATGAAGTGACATTAAGAGACTGGGCTACATGCTCGGTTAATTGCAAAAACAAATTTCTTGTTTTTCCTGGAATTTCTGGTACTGGCACATTTGGTTCATCATAAAAATTGTGAAACACTGGCTCAGGAGAGCGTTTGTAAACTTCTCCTCTAACCAAGATATTTACTCGAGGATCCAGTCTGGCCCTGTTGATTCCTAAGGTCACACGCTCCTCTTTTTTCCAGCGAGGATCAAGGGGATTGGTTATTACTAACTCTAAGGGGTTACATTGTCCCTTAGTACAGGAAGGGCCATTTTTTCATTTCTGAAGGTGAACTGGATCCTTTTAATTTTCTTTTTATCCAAGTGGCCGAAATGACACAACAGCAGTATTTACATGTATTTCCACACAGTACTAATTTATGACAGATGTACCTATTTTCTGCCGTATAGCCTCTAATTAAGAGAACCACACCTTATTCCTAACTTATTTACTATTAATGACAGCACAGGCATCAAATTTTAAGGCGACTTGTTTGGGCACTACTTTTTCTTCTGTTTTGGCTAACACTTTACTCATATCATTTATGAGCCCCCACCAGTCCTCAGTCCTTAATCTTATTTTAAAAACTCTGGTCATGGGAGGCTCAGATAGGTCATAACACATATCAGGTTAGTCACTTCCTGGGCTACATACCTTGTATAGAATAACATTATACAAACAAGTTCTTTTTAGAGTTCTAGTACACTTATAATAACCATAAAATAATAGGACTGTAGCAACCTTTTGTCCTACTGAGAGGTGACAACATGCTAGCAGCCCTTGCTCTTGGCACCTCCTCAGCCTCAGCGTCCACTCTAGCAGCGCTTGAGGAGCCTTCAGCCCGCCACAGCACTGTGGGAGCCCCTCTCTGGGCTGGCCAAGGCTGGAGCCAGCTCCTTCTGCTTGCGGGGAGGTGTGGAGGGAGAGGCGTGGGCGGGAATCAGGGCTGCGCGCGGCACTGGTGGGCCAGCATGAGTTCTGGGTGGGCGTAGGCTCAGCGGGCCCTGCACTTGGAATGGCCAGCCAGTGCTGCCAGCCCCAGGCAGTGAGGGGCTTAGCACCCGGGCCAGCAGCTGCAGAGGGTACACCAGGTCCCCCAGCAGTGCTGGGGGACCCACCCACCTCCGCCTCCCAAAGTGCTGGGATTACAGGCATGAGCCACCGTGCCCAGCCAGCACATACTTTTTGTTTTGAAAATGTCAAACTCTCAGGGGGATTTGTCTTAATAGAAGGTCCCATTCACAAGGAACTTTTGTTATCTCAACCCTTGCTGTCCCTGGGAAAGTCCAATCCCAGGAGGGCCTAGCCAGTGTCACAGATTAATGTGTCTGTGACTGGCAGCCTCCCACAGATACGTGGGATAGTGGTGGCACTGTACACACAACACCATCCTTAACCTCATGTGGTAACAACAGTCTTAGTATTTTAGCCTATTTCTGGGAGTAGATTTTGGG